GAAATAATAAATGCTCCAAAGATCCTCTACTATAGTAAGGTCAATTCAAGGAGTTGGGTAAACTAAACAGAATACAAACAAAACAAAACAAACAAACAAATAAACAAAACCCTTCATTTTGTCAGAGATCAACATCAAATCCACCTTTGAAAGTGTTTTCTTTAAAAGTATGTCTGCATAGAACTAATGTCTAAGCTTAGTCTAACCCAAACCATATTGAAATAAAAAATTAAAGAAAATAAATGCATTATATACTTTGACCAAAGATGATAGTGTGAGAACTCACATTTATACAGCAGACTACATGCTGACTGAAGCTGCTCCTACAGAGACTGAAGTCATCTTGCAACCTAAGTAAGTTGTTAAACTAGACATTAGTCTTTGTCAACAGTTAGGTGAAGAATTCTTACAGTGTGGTCATTTTTTTCTTCATTATTCACTCAGTAATCTTTACTATTTAGCTCTATAACATAATCACTTTGTCGAATTCCATGGAATAAGTATAATTGATTGCATGAATTTAGGTAGTAAAAGATTCTGGCTAACCATTAATGAAATGGTACGAATGTTAATTAATGATAAGAACTGAGCAACACTTTATAAACTGAACATTCTATTTATCTTTTACTGTAAGATTAAATTGTAGGGACAAGGGAAATGGTTTAGTGGTAGAGCACATGCCTTACATGTGTGAGACTCTGAGTTTCATCCTCAGCACTATGAAATAAATCAAAACTAAAAAGGGTGATTCGGTTAGGGATATGTCTTAGTAGAAGAACACATGCTTTGGATTGTGAAGTGGTGGGTTCAGTCCTCAATAATGCACAGAAGAAAAAAGTAAAAAATTCAAAAAAAGACAAATTTGTGGCCTCTTTTTCTAGCTGACATTTTGTGAACACCCAGGAAATAAGCATAAGTTATTGTCAAATACTTGGGTACCAATATCTTTCTATACTCTTGTGACTTTCACAATTATTTTGTCCCTTTAGAAAAAATGCAAATGTGACCTCTTTTTCTCAGCAATTATGAATAGCCAGGAATCTATAATAATAAAGGACTGTGCACTTACAACTGTTTTTTCCCATTTTTTTCAATTCTAACGTTATTTTATATTTTATACAAAAAAATAATCTAGTAAAGTATGTTAGAATGTTCCTTAGTATCCTCAAACGTGGGCTGGAAAAATAGTACAGTGGGTAGGGTATTTGCCTTGCATGCAGCTGACCTGAGTTCAATCCCTAGAATTCAATATGGTCCACCGAGCACCTCCAGGAGTAATTCCTGAATGCAGAGCCAGGAGTAACCCCTGAGCATCACTGTGTGTGACCCCAGAAAAAATCCTCAAATATATTATCATATTGTCCAACTAATTTTTTCCCGCTTTTTTGTATTTTTAGATAGGTAATCCTTTTTTTTGTGCCAGTAAATAACCTCTTTTGCATGTTAAAAAGCTAGATGTAAGTGATTTTATAAGATAAATGCAAAAATCAAACTTGAGTATTATTTTAAATCAATAATGGTAAGTTTGAAACTTGAAAAACTAAACAGATTTTAAGATTTATAATTTTTTTCTTTTTCGGCCACACTCGGTGATGCCCAGGGGTTACTTCTGACTCTGCACTGAGGAACTACTCCTGGCAGTGCTCAGGGGACCATATGGGATCTTGGGAATTGAACTCTGGTCGGCCACATGCAAGGCAAACACCCTACCCACTCACTGTGCTATCGCTCCAGCCCCAAGATTTATAATTTTTTAAACAAAATTGTTTCCATTAATTAAAACCAAAGAAGAAATCAATAATTTTTAAAAAGCTATTCTCATAGTAAGAAAGGCACAGATATAAACGTTTTTCTACATAGCTACTTGTAATAACAACAACAAAAAAATTGTAAGGCCAGATATTTTGGCCAGTGCTGTGACTTTCATATATGTGAAATAACAAAATTGAAATATCATCATACAGATGGTTGACCCTTAAGGCCAAATAAGAATATAGTGGCAGATGAATGTTATTAATATAACAGTTTTGGAGGTTTTTATTTGTTTGAGGGGGGTCACAACCTGCAGTGCTCAGGGCTCACTACTGACTATGCTCAGGGATCACTTCTGGCAGAACTCACAGGACCCATATGTGGTGCCAGAGGTCAAACCTCAGTGGGCCGTGTGCATCCTACCTGCTGTACTACTGGTCTGACCTCTAATATAATATTCTTAGCATTAGTTAAACTATTAAACTTAGGGCCAGATGTTATCCCTATAGTCATTCAAATTTTGACTTTCTCTTGCCTAATTTTTTTGGGGATGGGAGGCAATACCATATTGTGCTCAGGCTTATTCCCAGCTTGGTGTAAAAGGCTGCTCCTGGTGGTAGCTGAAAGATCAATGATGCCAAGAATCAAGCCTGCCTACAAAGTGTACCTTTCAACCTGTTGAGCTCTCTGGCCTTTCGCCTAATGTTTATGAACAAATGATTGGTCTGCACCAATGGTTTAGTACATGCTTTATATATGGGTGTGAGGCCCTGGATTTGATTACTAACACATGCCAAATTAATTAGTTAAATTAAATACACAGCAAGGAACCAAAGATGAATTTGACTTTTTTTTGGGGGGGTGGTTGAGGTGGGGTTTGAGTCATACCCTTCTGTGTTCAGGGCTTCCTCCTGGCTCGGTGCTCATAGATTAATTCTGGAGGGACTCAGGGTACCATATGTGGTTCTGGGGATTGAACCTGGGTTTGTTGCATGGTGTGAAAGCAAAAGCCTTGCTTCTCACATGTGAAGTGTGCACTCAGTCTCTGTAGTTATCTTTCCGGCCCCAAATTTGACTTTACTCTTCAATACAAGTTCCCTCCCGATATGTAGTAATCAAAACAGTATATCTATATATCATTTATGTATTCAGCAACTTTGGTTGCATATGCTAGGCCTTGTTCTAGGCATTCAATACTTCCAATAGAAACTTCTGTGATCATGCAACTGTTTTACATCTGCTCTAACATGGTACCCGGTAGTTACATATGGCTATGGTACACTAGAAATGTAGCTATGAGTCTGACAAAGAGAATGTTTCTTGAAGTATCATGATTTACTATACTTTTCATGATAGGGTTTCATGTATACAAAGTTCTAACACCACACCCTCCACCAAAGTGTTCCCTTACCTCCACCATTGTTTCGGTGTCACCTCTCAACCTCTCCCCTGACCCATATACCCATGGTAAACATGTTTCTATAGTCCAGTTCTCAGGTTCTTTTGTCTTCAGCCATTTGTTATTCCCATAATATGTTTCTTTATATGTCACAGATGCAAGAGATTTGACTTTTTTGGGGGGGGAGAGGGGTTCTGTATCCATCCCTCTTCTTCTGGCTGACTTCACTCAGCATGATACTCTCCAGCAAATTGCCATGATTTTCTTTTTTCTTGTTGAAAAAAAAAAGAATTTTAAATTTAAATTTAATTTTTAAGTTGCCATGTGTGGCCCTCAAGAATTTTTTTTTAACATATGAGAGGAGTCAATAAAGAATTTTTCTGAAAAATAAATACAATAATTTAAATTAATGTTATGCCAGAAGAGGAAATTTAGATGGGATATTTCACGACATCATATGACATCCAGGGTGGTGGGGAGCCACTTTAGAGGCAGGGTGGCCCAGGAAAGATGCTATGATGAAATGACAATTAATCTGAGCTTAAATGATGAGAAGATAGTAATATAAGGAACTGGGAGAATAAAACGATTTCCAGAAGGATCATCAAATGCAAATGCCCTAAGGAGGGAATAAGCTTTATTTGAGGGGAAGCCTAGTATGTCTAGATGAGGTGGGGTAGGGAGACAGAGAGAGGGGAGAGAGAGCCCTCTGACTATCCCATTAGAGTGCTATAGTGAAAACAGTAGAGAAGGTGAAAGGTAAAAGAATTCAAGATAAATAAAATAAAGTCATCACATGGCATAATCATTGTACGCTTCAATGTACGGTTGAATTTTTATTTAACAATCTAACATTGTTGACAATCAGCATATTAATGTTCCCTACTGCTACAGCTAAAAGCAAATGTCTTCCTATTATTTTTATTTTTGTTGTGTGAAATTTAAGCAAAGTATGTGCCTTGCCACCAAGCTACATGCCTGGCCCCATTCAGTGCCTCTTGTATCATTACTGTGGTTTGTGCAAGTTCGATAACTCAGAAAAATGCACCCATGAAAATTTAGAAATATTTAATTTTTTTCATTTTGCAATATTCTGCAAATAAGATTTATCATGTTTGAGTTATGAGCTGATTATGTGATGTCTGAGTCTCGATAAATTATTCCTGGCTTTCTACTTATATGCAGTATGTGTGGTTTATTGCAGAGTAAAGCTGAAAAGAATTCCAGTACACACGTTCATGCAGGGGCCGAGCACACGGCTAGTCAGTGTATATAAGGTTTTTCTGTACCCAGTCCCTAGTGTCTTGGCATTACTTTTATTATGTCTGCAGTACTCATGTAGATGAAATGCCACAACACATTCTTTTACTATTGTAGCCTCAACCGGCATTTTTAAACTTTTCTTTTTTTTTCAGAAAAAGCAATTACCATCATAAAAATTCCTTACTGAGGAACTTTCCATATTGCGTTATCATTCCATGAGTCTAATAATAGTGGAATATAAAGAAAAAATTAATACTAAAATATCTAAAAAAGATTTTTGAGGTCTCCATAATGAGAAACACTAAAAATCTAGAGAAGGAGAAATGAGGAAAAAGAAGCTTAGCTGGATTTTTTAAGAACTCCTGGTAAATGTTAAGAGATTTATAAGTCGTTGCCTGGCTAAACACAATTTGCAAATCACATGCACCTTTGTCCATTTATAAACACAGTTAAAGAACCATTGTCTATTATCTCTTGGGGAAATGCTAATGTCTATAATTTGTCATTGCCTAACCCTTATGTATTTCTATATTGATAGCTCTATCTGTCTGAAAGCTAATTCTGTGTTTTCTGTGAAATCTTGCAGTGGTGCTATCAGGGAGATTGTGTTCCTTTTGGCACTTGGCCCCAGAGTGTAGATGGAGGCTGGGGTCCCTGGTCGCTATGGGGAGAGTGCAGCAGGACCTGCGGAGGAGGCGTCTCCTCGTCCCTGAGACACTGTGACAGTCCAGCGTAAGTAGCTAAAGTAAGCCCAAGTCAACAAAAAGACACTGTTGGAAATGATTCAAAGCTGTGTGGTTGTACATGTTATCTGTATGTTGGTTTCACTCATGAGCCAGGTGTAGGCACAGGACAGCGGAGGAGGCGTGGTAGGGCTCCTTTTCTTTCACCCCCTCTGCCCATACAATTGAAGAAAGAAAAACAAAGAAGAAAACCAAGCATCTATTGCCTGTCTAAGTCAGATTTTTCATGTAGGAAGAGTTATATAGAGTTTCTCTTTCCCAAACTATTGAATTATGGATAAAACCAGGGCTAGTCTTTGCTATATTACCTGTATTCCCAGGAAACCTAAGGTCTTTTCACATGTCACATAAAATTATTACTGCTATGTTAGTATTAAAAGGACCAATGAGAGCACTTCAAGGATTGAAATGCCTTGATTCGCATCACAAATCACAATGAAAAGAATACTGCCCATGTGTTAAAATAGTTTCCATTCACACACTCCCATTAATCATCTCTCAGAGCTGCCACTGCTTTTTCTCCTGACTGTCCTCTGCAGGTCAGACTACTGTCCCACTTTTCTGCTTCTCTGGAGCTTAGCCAGCTCCATCGATTTTCTTTGCTAGCTGTATTGCTGTCTGCTACCAGTGCCCAGCACACTTCTGGTTGGAAGTGCCCAGGGCCACTCTTCTGGTTGGACTTTCCTCTTCTCCCAGAAACTACATTGTGCCGGGGCTGGAGCAATAGCACAGTGGGTAGGGCATTTGTCTTGCATGTGGCCAATGCAAGTTCGATTCCCACCATCCCATATGGTCCCCTGAGCACCGCCAGGAGTAATTCCTGAGTGCAGAGCCAGGTGTAACCCCTGTACATCGTGGAGTGTGACCCAAACAGCTACGCGGTGACTTAGCTGCTACATGTCAATGTTGTGTTGAGGAACAGTGTTGCTTAGGGGCAACACCTGGCACTGTGCTCAGAGCCACTTCCTAAGGTACTGTGGGGACCATATGTAGTGCAAAGATTTAAGTTGGGGTTAGCCACATACAATGCCAAGTGCCTTGGCCTTTGGATCCTGAGCTTCCCCCTTTCGACTGGAGCTCAGGTTGACAGTCTGTTTTCACAATCAAAATCAACTGCGGAATGATGTCATGCGATCACTTCCGCTTTCTTTTTTTTAGCCTTCTGGGATAAACATTGCTTATCTATCTCATTTTCATTTAGGATTCCTCTCTTGGGTTCTTCTCTCCATGTACCTCTCCTTCACTCTTCAGCTTAAAGTTGCTTCCCTTTATTTTAGTTCTATGTTCCCCTTTTTCTGTTTTTTTTTTATCAATTTTTATCCTCCTGCTAGAAATAAGTTATTTCACTGATTCATTGAGTCAAATGATTACTTAGACTTGAATTTTTTAAATAATTACAGAATAATTTTAAATTTAACTGCAGATTCCTATAAATTAATTACTAAAAAGATCAAATCCTAAATAACATTCAGTTACTTAAGTGAATGACTTGGATCTCTCTTGAAACAAGTTAAATTCTTTGGATTAAAAAACAGTATCCTCAAATAATAGCATATAGCTTTCTATACATTACTTACTTAAAAAACCCAATTTGCACAAATCAAATATTTGATGTGTTTTTACATTAATAGTTGCGTATAAAGTTTTTTTATTCTGCAACGCCATCTAATTTTTAGATTTAATTTTTGAAACTTTATGATACTGAAATTCATTTCTGCATTATTTGCTTTAAACTGAAGCTATTTCCAGATGGTTATTTGTATCCTCTCCTTGTTTTCAATCTGATAAAATGTAAATGCCCCATTTTCTACTTGGTAAACATACAACATCAGTTAACCAGTTTTGTTGACTATGATTTAAGTCACTTTTATTATAGAAAATGATTTTTAAAATGCATTGTGTTGAACCAAACACCTTACTATAATTAGAAAATAGGTTAATTTAATTGCACTTTCCTTAAGAATGCAAATAATGGCAATTAAGTCTTGTAAAGTTATGGATAGTAAATGTTCTTGATTTTTGTGTTCAACAACCGTAATAATTCTAGAAATTACCAGCATGCTGATTAATTTAGTTACTAATAAAATGTCATGATTTGTATTTCTTAAGTGTTTTCATCAAGCAATGTATGTACCCTTTATGTAGATAGATATTATATTCACATATTCAACACAATGTATTTTCAGACCTTCAGGAGGTGGAAAATATTGCCTTGGGGAAAGGAAACGATATCGCTCCTGTAACACAGATGTAAGTAAAGCCAAACTTTGTTATGCAAGATTAGATTATGGTTCTCCCAAAGTAAGGGAAAATTAAAATTAAAACCTATTTGTTCAAAAATTCATGAATGAAGATCATGTGATTTTTTTCAAACCTTTTTTAGTTAATGGAATTGGCCTTAAGTTCTACCGTTTGCATTAACAAGGGTCAAGAGGAAGCATGAAGAACTAAGACAATCTTCCCCAAAGGAATCAAGAAAGAACTACATATACACTGAGTGTACTGGCCCTTCAACAGTCTGCTTTGCTATCTTAAGACATTTAAATGGCTCTTCTATTTTTGTTTTGTTTTTTGTTTGGATGGGCTGGAGTGATAGCACAGCGGTAGGGTGTTTGCCTTGCACGCAGGCAGCCCGGCAGAGCCGGGTTCGATTCCTCTGACCCTCTGGGAGAGCCCGGCAAGCCACCAAGAGTATCTTACCTACATGGCAAAGCCTGGCAAGCTACCCATGACGTATTCAATATGCCAAACACAGTAACAACAAGTCTCAAAATAGAGACGTTACTGGGCCCTCTTTGAGCAAATCGATGAACAAAGGGAGGACAGTTTTGTGTGGATGACACCTGGTGGTGCTCAGGGTGTACTCCTGGCTCTGTGCCCAGGGATTACTTCTGGGGGACCACGGGGGACCATATGGGATGCCAAGAATTGAGTTCCTACCTGCTGTACTATTGCTCTGGCCCTTCTGCTATCTTTCATAAGACCCCTAGAATTAATCATATTACTCCTTTGTGCCATTTTTATTTACCACTCAACCTCCAGACTCCCTCCACAAGAACATATAGTTCGATTATATGTTTCCTATCTTCATACAAATACCAAAACTTCTTTGTGTCCTAAAATTCATGGATCTATCATGAGCAAAATATCTTAGATTGAGATCTTTCTGAATTTTTCTGTTACTGTTGTTGCTCTTGATCTAACGGAAATGGACTCTTCTCCAAAGATACAGTTTCCTCAGTTTCCACCTATAATTCATGAAATATGTTTTCCCCCTTACTTCTTAAATATCCAAATATCTGAACCTGAAAAATTTTACGAGGTGGTAGGTGTCACACCCATCAGTTCTCAGAACCCACTCCTGGTATTCCTGGGGAACCATAAGTAGAGACAGGGATTGAACCAGGCTTGGCCACATGCATACCAAGTGCCTTAACTTTCATACAATTTCTCCAGCTTATCTTCTTTATATTTTATTATCCCTTGCAGATTTTTTCTCCCATCTAAACCTATGTCCTTTAATTTCATATCATCAGACTATTAACCACTATTCCTCACTCTTATGCCATTCAATAATGCCAGTCTTAATTTATGGTTATTTCATAAATATGTAGGTGATTTTTTTCCCAATATCTTTTTCTGGATTTTTCATGAGCTATTATTTGGTCCTATCTTGAAAAAAATTTTTTAAATGTCAGTGATTTTTTTTATTTCTTTGCTACCTTTTAAATCAAATTACTCAACAGGATGTTCTACACTTATTGTATCCAATTCTGCTCCTCATCTTTTCCTTAAATTATTTGTCAGGTTTTTTCTACTATTATTAAACTGAAAATATTTGACAAATTATAGATGACTGCCATGTTGATAAATCCAATAGTCAGTTTTGAGTATTTACTCACTTTCTCTTCACTAAGTTTCTATGATACTACAATTTTTTTTTGTTATATATTTCTTCTCATTCTATTTTGCTGGTTCCTACTCCTTTCTCAACTCTTAATGTTTGAGATACTTAAAGTTACTCCTTGGTCTCTTTTTCTGCCCCAACAATACTCATTTCCATGGTGATCTCATCCAATTTTATTGCTTTTGAAAGCATGTATATGTCTTTTGATCCTTACATGAGTATTTTCAGCCCAGAATTCTTCAAAAGATTCCAGGATTGCATCTTAACATTAATTGGACTTTTAATGGGTGTTTAATATTTGACGTTTCCAACTGTTATTTTCAAAACATTCCATGAACCTATGTATTCAACGATTTTTACTGTCTCATGTCAACTTTATCTGAACAGAAAACCATTCTTGACTAGCCATCCTAGTCATTCTTTATTATTTTAATTTTCCCTTAATCTATATAGAATTCCTGAGGAAATTCCATTTATCTTGCCTTCAGAATGCATCACAGTGGGCCATATATATAGTATACGTATTAAGGCACTTGGCTGGCATGTGGTTGATCTAGTTCAATCTCTGGCACCATATATGGTTCAGTTACTAGCATTTTTTATTCTTTCAAGTCAACAAATTGAGTTGAGTGATTGCCAAATTGATTGCCAAATGTGTATTAGAATATACTGAGTAAGAAAGATAATTTATGAATTCTTAAGATAGAAGCTTAAAGGGGTCCGAAAATAGAATATATTTGGTACTTGAGCTGTAGAAATTGCTATTGGTGGATTGATTAGTCTGTTACTATCTTTGCTTATCATTCATTACTAAAACTATTTTTGGTTTCAACATAACCATATCATGGAAAATATGGCATGAAGTAAGCATTTACCAATGAGAATTCTAAGCTTTTGTTTTTGTTTTCTCTAAATTAACCTTGGTACTTTCTTTTAATGTATAGGGGTTTAGGTGTTCTTTCTTTAATGCCCAGCTGTTTATTGCATGTGAATTAACCCTAATTTAAGGACTTCAGGAAAGTATACTTATTTTTTTCACATTATCTCTCTGCTAGTGCAAATCTTGCATAATTTAGTATTATAAACATCATATTAGTGATTTTGTAAATAAGATCTGAGAGAAAATATTTTATTAGTCAGAGTTAATATGAAACTCAAGAACTAGAAGATTTGGGCTTGGAGAAAGAGTAGAATGGTTAAAGTTCTTATCTTGCATGTGGCCAACACCAGTTAGATCCCCAATAATATGGTCTTCTGACAACCACCAGGGGTGATCTCTGATCACAGATACTGGAGTAAGCCTTGAGCACTAACAAGTGTGGACCAACAACTAGGAGACAAAACTGAGCTGGGGTAGGAGTTGAAAGAGAGGGGTCGTTGAGACCTTGGTAGGGTCAGGGAGAGTGGGCACTGTGGTGATGGGTGTGGTATTGAAATTTGTACACATGAAACCATAATTAGCAGTATTGAAATTCATGGTAAATTAGTCATGTGATAAAAATAATTAAAATGTTGAGCTTCAAGCTTAGTAATAAGCTAGAGCATTGATGAAATTCAGTAAGGCATAGAATTTCTGAATATTGATTAAGTGCTCTTATAACAGGCAAAGCTAGGTGTGGCAAGGTAAACTTCTCTTAAAGAGTTTCCTAACCTTTGACATTGTCTAACCTTATCCTGTAGCAGAATTGATATCTGAGAACTTTCTGAAACTACAGACCTTTCGCTCAGGGAAACGTGTGAGGTTACAGGATGGATCCATTAACTAACAGTGGTATTACTGTATCTCATTATAATCAGAAGACAAACATGTCTTATCCTCTTAATTATTGTTAATATCATATATAATATAATACATGCATATATTACAAATATGTACAATAATGGGAATAGTGATTAGGTTAGCATTAGGTTAGCACAGCGGGTAGGGCGTTTGCCTTGTATGCAGTCTACCCAGGTTTGATTCCTCCGCCCCACTCGGAGAGCACTGCAACCTACTGAGAGTATCTCGCCTGCACAGCAAAGCCTGGCAAGCCACCTGTGATGTATTTGATATGCCAAAAACAGTAACAAGTCTCACAATTTGTTGTGAGATCTTACTGGTGCCCACTCGAGCAAATCGATGAGCAACGGGAGGACAGTGTTACAGTGCTATGAATTGTATGCTGCACATTATGTTTTGAGAAATAAGTACTAACTTTTAAGCACAGAATATAACTTGATTTTTTACTTTTTTCTTAGAAGGTAAAAATTATAAAAATTTGTGAAACAGGTGGACAGAAATAATACATCCAATAAAATGCTTCCCTTTTTTGCAACTCGCCTGTGTTCAATTCCTTGTACCTCACATGCTCTCTGAAGTGTGTTCCAGGAGTGCACTTTGAATGTAGAGACAGGAGTACGACCTGAGTATTGCTAGGTATAGCCTAAAAACAAACAATGTTTTCATTTCTTTTTGGGTCACACCCGGCGATGCACAGGGGTTATTCCTGGCTTTGCACTCAGGAATTACTGCTGGAGGTGCTTGGGGGACCATATAGGATGCTGAGAATCAAACCTGGGTCGGCCGTGTGCAAGGCAAATGCACTGCTGTGCTATCATTCCTGCTGTGCTATCATTCCAGCCCCCAAACAAACAAAATTTAAAGCAGAAGTTAACACAGTAACATTTTCTTAGATTTACAGAAAAGATTTATTCTGGAAAGATAGTCTTCAAATTCAGACTGTGTAAGGCTTATAAAAGTAGTTATAATTCTAAAATCTTTCAGAGAAGATTATGGTATTAAATGTAATATTCAAATTTAGTGAATAATAAAAGTTCTTCAGGATTTTTTAAGTAAACTTGAGTGAAACAACAAAAAATAAGAACTGAGGGAGAAGAGATGAGGTAAAATCAAAACTGTGATTTTGATGATCTGCTCTGGGAGGCCTGAGAGACAGTATGTAGGCTGCTTGCCTTGTACATGGCTAACCCAGTTCAATCCTCAGTGCCTTCAAATGTTCCTCGAGTCCTACCAAGAGTGATCCTGAACACAGAGCCAGGAGCTGGGTATAACTGAAAAACACAGGTGATTCACTATCTCCTTTGAACATTAAATTTAGCAGTGCCTTTATGAATGACATGGAATACCTGATAACTGTGAAATCAAGAATTTTAGTTGCAATATATAAAAGATGGCATAGAAAGAAGCTAGGCTTTTATTAGTCATTGTACCAACGCCATCTTTGTGTGATTTAGAAAAATATCATTCTGGGTGGACAGACTGAAATGACTCTGCTTTTCACAGTTCAGTGTCAAGTGTTTCATTTCTAAACTGTGAAACTCAGTGCTCTAACATGGAACATCACCAACAGGATGTAACTGATTAAGAATCCTTTGCTATCTGGGAGAGGAGGAAATGAGTGAGATGATTGGTTCAGTAGATAATAAGAAGAAACAATAATGCATTCTACATGAAAGCGAGAGTGCAAGAGTAGAAAGTGGACAGAGAAAAGAAGTAGAAGTAGAAGGCTCAAATTTTCTCATTTTGCAGTTTCAGGGCAGTAGAAATCCTTGAATTTTTCTTTATTTTTAAAAACCAGTTTGCACTCATCTGTGGTATATAAAGTAACAGAATGGGAGACTAACACCCAAGAATAGTAGAGATAAGGACCAGGAAGTTTTCTCCACAGCTTGGAAGTGGCCTCAAATGGCAGCTCAGATAGAGAGGGGAACACCAAGTCAAGGGCATTTGTAGGACCAGCTCAGGTTGGAAGATGCTTGCCGAATGTAGACTATAGATCCAACACAATGGCCACTCAATGCTTCTAGTGCAAATCACGACACGCAAAAGGAGAGAGAGAACAAAAGGGAATGCCCTATCTCAGAGGCAGGGTGGGAGGTGGGGTGGGGATAGGGGGGAGGATGGGGTGGGGGTGGCGGGAGGGCTACTGGGATCATTGGTGGTAGAGAATGGGCACTGGTAGAGGATGGGTAGTCCATCATTGTATTACTGAAACGCAAGCACGAAAGTTTGTAAGTCTGTACCTGTACCCCATGGTGATTCATTAATAAAAAAAATTAAAACAAATAAAATCAGATTATGTAGAATAAAAAAGTTTCATCAAGATACTGGGATTTACAATACTGTTAATTATACTTTTCATGCAGATATCACTCCAACAGCACAACCAACACCAGAGAGCTCCACCAGTGTCCCAGGGCCCCTCTCAGACCCCCTCCCATGTAAGCTCTGTTCAAAAGACAAAATCTCCAATTGTGATGACTTGGATTATTTGTTGTTCCCATACTATATTTCTTATTTATTCCAAATATGGGTATTTTTTTTTAAATTGTGGAGGTAGTTAAATCTACATACATATAAATACAAAATTGTAAATAAATGCTAAGTTAAAAAATACTTTTTTTCAAAAATTGTATGTCTTTCTTTTACAGTATATAAATTTTAAAATTAATACTCTTAATAATTCTGTGCTGATACATTTAAAAAGTTACCTGAAATAGACAGATTCCACTAAATGTAAAATTTAATTAGAGTGAAGAGAATTAAGAGTATTCTAAGGGGAAAATATGAATAGACCTAAACAACGATATAGCTGTGCTTTAACCTCAGAAAGGGAATATTGGCTTTATATTATAAAATGTTATCTTATAGATACTGTTTAAGTATCTGAATTAATAATTAATCAAAATCTCTATAGTTGAAAAACAATACTCTCAACCAGACATAGAACATTCTTTATAAATAAAACATTAATTTGTTATTGGAAACATTTAAAGCTCCTTGGCTAGCTAGGAGTAAAGAAGCCTTTCTTTTTAAAAATTTACTATTACTATTTTTTTAATGAATCACCAAGAGATACAGTTACAGACTTATGAACTTTCATGATTATGTTTAAGTCATACAATGTTGAATACCCATCCCTCCACCAGTGCCCATTCTCCACCATCCAATGTTCCGAGTAACCCTCCTGCCACCCCTACTCTTCCTCTGTGGCAGGCACATTCCTTTTATTCTCTCTCTCCCTTTGGGTGTTATGGTTTGCAATACAGGTACTAAGTGGCCATCAAAACAAACCTTTCTTAATCTAGTAGAGGGTACAGATAAAGTTCCATGCGTGAATGCAATACTCAGTGCCAGGTGCTGTTAAGTTTGTCTTGTCTTTACAAAAATCTCATTTAATGCTTCTTGCAAACTGGTTTCAAGGATTTGAATTCCCTAAGCTGTTGCTTATCCCTGCAGCTCTGTATCATTCCTCCAAATCTGAATGATGGGCTAGGTGGATAGTGTTTTCTTGGTGACATGTTCATTTCATTGAGATTTTGTACCATATCCCTCCATTATCTTCTGGCTTACAGTCTCTTGACAGTTCTACTGTGAATCTTACAGATTTTCATTTATACTTGAGTGCCTTTTTTGATTTTGCTGCTTTCAAAATTTTATGTTTGTTTTTTGCTTTTGCCGTTTTGAGTACAATATGTCTTAGAATTTTTCTCTTTGAGTCTATTTTCACTGGGTCCCTTCAGCCTTCTTAAAGCTGGGTGTCTGTAATCATAAATTCTGGAAAATTCTATGATTTCTTTAAGTGTTGGTTCTTTATCAAATTTGCCTTACTATTCTTAAGGGATTCTGGTGATTTTTATATTATTTACTTCACATATATTTATATTATTTCTTTCATTCCATAGTTCTCTGAAGTGCTGTTCATTTTGTTTTTCAGAATTTTCTCCAATTTCTGTTGTTTTCTAGAGGTTTCCTCCATCTTAGAGCTCCTTGATCTTTAGTCGCTTCTATTCTGCTGCTCAAAATTTCTATTGATTTTTTATTTACTTATTTTTAATTTTTTAATTGAATCACCATGAGATGGTTACAAAGCTTTCATGATTGAGTTTCAGTCATACAATGATTGAACACACATCCCTCCACCAGTACGCATTTTCAATTGATTCTTTTACTTCACCTTTCATACTCTTCTAATATTGGCTCTCATACTTTCTTGTGCTTTGCTGACAACCAGTGTCATTGAATTCATTAAGCATCCTGATCATGGTGTCACTAAACTCATTCTCTGAGAGTTTACAGAGCTTTGTCACTGGTGGACCCTTCCATGTTACTATCTTCACTCATTGAATTTGGAGGATTTTACATGTCTTCCCCATTGTGTCTGCTATGGTCCTGCTGAGCCAGGGTAAATCTTTGCAGCTAGCCACTGCAAGTCTCCAAGGGATTAGCTGGGAGTTGTTCTTTTCCTTCTCTGCCCTTCTTCACCCAGAGACAAAAAGTATAACGTGAGCAATGTAAGATGTGATGAATAGAGCCATGGTCATGTGGTTCAGGAGATGTGGAAATGGCCCTGGGAGGGTCAAGAGCAAGCAGAGTTTTAGAAGTGGAGTTGCACCTGCTGAGGTGGCAGCGGTCAGGTGTGGAGACTGCTGGGACCTAGTCAGAGGAGAGGAGAATCTGCCTCGTATTCCAAAAAGATCCCAGAGATGTCAGCTGGGAAATTCATCTCACCTGGGGGAGTAGGGGAGCAAGCAGAATTTTCAACACTGCATTTTTAGTGCTGCAGCTGCAGTACTCAAAAAAAAAAAAAGAAAACCTAAGTCAAATAAGGTTACATTACTCAAATGTAATGGGAGTTTTTTGAATCTAAAGATTAAGTTTAGGTTGTCCCTGGGGAGACTTTGACAAGATTCTCCTTAAAACAAATCAAAACAAAACAAAACAACACAACACAAAAAACTTAGGTAGAAGAAGTATCCCAAATTGTTTGAAAATAAATAACCTTCTTTTCATTCTTGGAATATCCTTTCTCCTCATCCCCCATATCATTTCTGTATTCATTTTTTGAGGTGATTTGGTTTTTTTGTTTTCTGCATTGTCAATAGATTTAGCGTAAAGCTTGATAAGTCCAAATACCTTGAATTTGAAGGTATTTAGACTTGGAGCCTAGCATTTTGTCCAGCTTATTCCTCATCTTTAAACATAGTTTTTGTCAGGACTAGACAGTAAACAGTAATAGCAGTAAGATTCCAAACCACAATTAATGGTGCTGGATGTCATGTTATGAATCAGCCCTTGATTCCTTAAAGAGTTATTAGTTATGGCAACCGGGCCTTAAATATTATTACCAAAAAGGATTTTGTGCTGCAGTTTCATCACCTTGTCTTTATGTGTGTTTATAAGGAAATAATAGGTGGACTAATTGCAATGTGAACTGTGGCATACATCCTACTTTAAAGTTACAGGAAACTTTCTAAGCCTTTGTTCAAATTACTTCATTTGGGGCTGGAGAGATAGTAAAGCATAGGACATTTGCCTCACATTCAGCCATCCCAGGTTCTATCCTGCACCAGGAGTGATACCTGACTGTAGTCAAGAGTATTCCCTGATCACTGCTGGGTGTGGCCCTCAAACAAAGCACACAAAAGTTACTTTGCTTCTTCTGTGACGAAGATTACGATTCAGATGCCTCAGTCTGAAAGACTGCAGTATAAATGCCAGAGTTATAGTCAGTGAGCTATAATATGACGGAGCTTGGGCATTTTTAGTTTTAGGCACATTGTCTCTTTTTGTATTTTTCGAAAATCATAACATTTGTGATTTTATTTTAGCCATGTCCTTTGGGAGCCCGAGATTTTCGAGAGAAACAGTGTGCAGACTTTGACAATATGCCATTCCGTGGAAAGTATTATAACTGGAAACCCTACACTGGAGGTAAGATGTAACCTGTCTTGCAAGCATAAAGAATACAGATATTCACAGGCATATTAGCAAATATTAGTGATAAAAATCAAATCAAGAAAGTGCTTATAGTACTAATAAGTTTTAATGTTTCTATTTCCGTTAATAAATTTTTTGGTAGCACAAATGATCAGAAACAGCTTTTGAAAGGCCTAGTTCTAATGTCGAAAAGATATTTTAACAGATTGGAGTTCATGTTTTGCATGCAGAAGGGTTAGATTTGATTCCCAGGCATAGCGTGATACCTGAGCATGGCCAAGAATATAAATAAATGATATGTTAAAAACAAAACCCAAGCACAGCTCTATTTAACAAGGTACAAAGATTCTAAAACAATATAAAATCAGACAATATTTTGGAGTAGTTAAGACTTCTTATAGGATTTACATATCACATTATAATAGTTTAACATAATAAATTATCACCCTAGGAACCAAAAAGATAGTACAGCTGGTAAGGCACTTGCCTTTTATGTGGATGATCCAGGTTTGATTCTCGGGACCCAATATGGTCCACTGAGTCCGCCAGGAGTGTTCCCTGAGCATAGAGCCAGGAGTAAGCCCAGAGCACTGCTGGGTGTGGCCCAAAAACAAAAAGAAGAAAAACAAGAAAAAAGAAATTACCACCCTTAAAACAATGTAAATCAACTCAAAAGAGTCCAGGAAAATGTCTTCTAATCCTTGGTCAGAGGTCAAGGATCTTTCCATAATTATTGTCATTCTTATTTTAGTGTTGGGGAACATTTCCATTCTTTAATTTGGGCATGTATCAAACACTAATGTTCTGCAAGCACAAGAAGTTTTCCTACACTCCCAGAATATAAACTAAACTTGGTTAGAATTTTTCTCTTGGAAACTTTGAATATACTTTAAAAAAACTTTTATTGTTTGTTTGTTTTTCTAACATTTTTGAAAATCTTCCAACATAGAGCCAATACTGAAAGAATTTTACAGTGACAGCTACATTGTTCACCACCAAGATTCTATCATCAATATTTTACTATTCTTTCTTTATTACATAATTAGTTGTCTATCCATCATATTTTGCTGCATTTAAAATTAATTATATCCATTAAGAGACTTTTCTTTATATACTCAACTTTCATAATATTAACCATAATTTTTTCTTTTTTTTATTTCATCACAACTTTCTTTTTTCTTTTTTTTTCATTTCTTTTTTTTTTAAATTTTTTAAATTTATTTTTTTAATTTTTATTTTTTTATTAGTGAAACACCATGAGGTACAGTTGTATATTTACAATTTTTTGTGCTTGGGTTTCGATTATACAATGATCAGATACCCATCCCTCCACCAGTGCCCATTTTCCACCACCATGGATAATATCCCCCACACCCCCATCTCCCCATCCCCCCGCCTCTGTGGCAGGGCAATCCCCTGTGTTCTCTCTATCCTTTTGGGTGTTGTGGTCTGCAAAACAGGCATTGAGTGGCAAACATGTTCAGTCCATAGTCTACTTTCGACATGCATCTCCCCTCCTGGGAGGATCCTCCAAACACCCTTTATTTGGTGCTCCCTTCTCTATCTGAACTGCCCTTTCCCCTAGAGTGCCCGGCTGGCCTCTAAGCCATGGAGGAATCCTCCTGGTACTGATGTCAGCTATTCTTGGGTATTAATCTCATATTTTGTTACTTTATATCCCCCAGATGAATGCAATCTTTCTATGTCTATCCCTCTATTTCTGACTCATTTCGCTTAGCATGATACTTTCCATATTGTACCACTTGTATGTAAATTTCATAACTTCATCTTTTCTAACAGCTACATAGTACTCCATTGTGTAGATGTACCAAAGTTTCTTTAACCAGTCATCTGTTCTTGGGCATTCAGGTTTCTTCCAGTTTCTGGCTATTGTAAAGAGTGCTGCAATGAACAAAAAAGTGCAGATGTCACTTCGACTATACATTTTTCCCTCTCTGGGATATATTCCCGGGAGTGGTATTGCTGGGTCAAATGGGAGCTCAATTTCTAATTTTTTGAGAATCGTCCATACTGTTTTCCAGAAGGGCAGAACCAGTCGACATTCCCACCAACAGTGAAGGAGTGTCCCTTTCTCGCCACATCCACGCCAGCATTGGTTGCTTTTGTTGTTTTGAATGTGGGCCAGTCTCTGAGGTGTGAGATGGTATCTCCTTGTGGTTTTGATCTGGATCTCCCTGATGATTAATGACGTAGAGCATTTTCTCGTGTGCTTTTTTGCCATTCGGATTTCTTCTTTGAGAAAGTTTCTGTTCATTTCATTGCCCTATTTTTGGATGGGGTTGGATGTTTTCTTCTTGTGGAGTTTAACCAGTATTTTGTATATCCTGGATATCAACCCCTTGTCAGATGTGTATTCGGCGAATATCCTTTCCCATTCTGTAGACTGTCTTTGTATTTTGGTCACTGTTTCTTTGGAGGTGCAGAAGCTTCTTAGTTTAAGATAGTCCCATTTATCTATCTCTGTTTTCACTTGCTCGGCCAGTGGCGTGGCATCTTTGAAGATACCATTAGCTTCAATGTCATGGAGGGTTTTGCCAACTTTGTCTTCAATGTACCTTATGGTTTCTGGTCTGATGTTGAGGTCTTTAATCCATTTTGATCTTACTTTTGTACATGGTGTTAGGCAGAGTTCTGAGTCCATTTTTTTTTGCATGTAGCCGTCCAGTTCTGCCAAGCACACTTTGTTAAAGAGGCTTTCCTTACTCCATTTCACATTACTTGCAACTTTATCAAAGATTAGATGATCATATGATTGAGGGGAGATATCAGTGTATTCAACCCTATTCCACTGGTGGGCATCCTTGTCTCATCCCTGATCTTAGAGGAAAGGCTCTCAGTTTTTCCCCATTGAGGATGATGCTTGCTGTAGGCTTGTGGTAGATGACTTTAACTATGTTGAGGAAAGTCCCCTCTATACCCATTTTGGCTAGGGTTTTCATCATAAAGGGGTGCTGGATCATGTCAAATGCTTTCTCTGCATCTATTGATATAATCATATGCATTTTATCTTTTCTTTTGTTGATATGATGGATTATGTTGATTGATTTCCAAATGTTAAACCATCCTTGCATCCCTGGGATGATTCCTACTTGGTCATGGTGTATGATCTTTTTGATGAGTAGTTGGATTCTATTTGCTAATAGTTTGTTGAGGATCTTTACATCTGTGTTCATCAGGGATATCGGCCTGTAATTCTCTTTCTTTGTGGTATCTCTGTCTGCTTTTGGTATCAGTGTGATATTTGCTTCGTAGAAACTGTTCGGAAGTGTTTTTGATATTTCAATTTCGTGGAAAAGCTTAAAGAGGATTGGGAGTAAATCCTCTTTAAAGATTTGGAAGAATTCACTAGTGAATCCATCCGGGCCAGGACTTTTGTGCTTGGGGAGACTTTTTATTACCATTTCAATTTACTTGATGGTGATAGGTCTGTTCAGGTATTCCAGGTCTTTTTGGTTCAGCCTTGGGAGTCTGTAGGAGTCTAGGAATTTATCCATTTCCTCCAGGTTTTGATGTTCCGTGGCATAAAGCTTCGGTTTATTAGGGTTTTCTCTCTCCCTTTCTTTGTGAGTTTTGCTAGAGGCTTATCGATCTTCTTAATTTTCTCGAAGAACCAGCTCTTGGTTTCATTGATCTTTCGGATTGTTTTTTTGGGTTTCCATCTCGTTAATCTCTGCTCTGAGTTTTATTATTTCCTTTCTCCTGTTCGGGTTGTGCTCCTTTTTTTTGGTCCTTCTCCAAGCTCTTAAGCTGTGAGGTTAGGTTACTTATGTGTGCTCGCTCCTCCTTCCTGAGGAATGCTTGTAGAGCTATAAACTTTCCTCTTAACACAGCTTTTGCTGTGTCCCATAAGTTTTGGTAACTCGTGTTCTCATTTTCATTCGTTTCTAGGAATCTTTTGATTTCCTCTTTGATTTCCTGTCTAAGCCACTCATTGTTCAATAGCGCACTGTTTAATTTCCAGGTGTTTGATTTAGTTTTCTTTTTTTGTGTGTGATTTACTTCTAATTTCAGCGCATTATGGTCTGAGAAGTTTGTTGATACAATCTCTATCTTCTTAATTTTATGGAGGCATGTTTTGTGGCTCAGCAGGTGGTCTATCTTGGAGAATGTTCCATGTACGCTTGAGAAGAATGTGTATTCAGCTTTTTGTGGATGTATATATCTACTAAGTCCCTTTCTTCCATTTTTTCCCTCAGATGAAGTATGTCCTTGCTAAGCTTGAGTCTGGTTGATTTATGAAGAGGTGACAAAGCGGTGTTGAAGTCTCCCACTAGTATTGTGTTGCTATTGATGTCTTTTTCCAAATCTATGAGTAGTTGTTTTAAGTACTTTGCTGGTCTCTCATTAGGTGCATATACATTTATTATTGTTAGTTCTTCCTGTTGTACAGATCGTTTGATCAATAAGAAATGGCCTTCACTGTCTCTTATGACCTTCTTCTCTCTGAAATCGATGTGGTCTGATATTAGGATGGCTACCCCAGCTTTTTTATGGGAGCTGTTTGCTTGTAGGATTGTTTTCCAGTCTTTGACTCTGAGTCTGTGTTTGCTTTGACTATTGAGATATGTTTCTTGCAGGCAGCAGAATGTTGGGTTCAATTTTCTAATCCATCCTGCCACTCTATGTCTTTTAATTGGTGCGTTTAGCTCATTGACATTGAGAGAGATTATTGTTATGGGATTTTGTCCCATTGTTCTGTTGAAATTTGGTGTATTTGAGGGGCCTTTCTTGCCTTAAAGTAGCCCATTTAGTTGTTCTTGTAACCATGGTTTTGAGTCTATGAAGTTCCTGAGCTGTTGTTTGTCTGTGAAACTGTGTGTTGTTCCTTCTCTTATGAATGAGAGTCTCGCTGGGTAAAGTATTTTTGGAGAGGCATTTATTTCATTGAGTGTTTTCACTATGTCCCACCACTGTTTTCGGGCCCTGAGGGTTTCATCAGACAAATCAGCTGTGAATTTTAAGGATGCTCCTTTGTAAGAGATTTCTTTCTTCGATCTTGCTGCTTTCAGAATTTTGTCAGAATTTTGCCTTTGTCTAAGGTTTTGGTCATTTTGATCAGAATGTGTCTTGGGGTATTTTTATTCGGATTTCTTCTAGCTGGTACCCTTCGGGTCTCCTGAATGTGGTCACAAGTTTTCTTCAGCTCTGGAAATGTTGTAGCAATGATGTCTTTGACAGTTTCTTCTTCATCAAGGTTTTCTTCCTGTCCCTCTGGGACTCCAGTAATTCTTACGTTAGCCCTCTTGGCTTCGTCACGATCTTCTCTTGCCATCTGTTCCCGAATAGTGAGTCTCTTTTCCATTTTCTGCTCTTTCCTGTAGAGTCTCTGAACTTCATCTTCGAGCTCACTGATTCTGTTCTCAGTGGCTGTTACTCTGCTTCTGAGGCCTTCCACTGAGTTTTTCAATTCGCCTACCAGGTTTTTCAGGTCTGACATTTCCGATTGCATTTTCCTCATTTATGCCTTCAAATCCTCTTGTCTTTTATTGGCATTGCTTTCCATTGTTTCTTTTAGTTCCCTAAGCATCCTAAGTAGCTCCCTTCTGAATTCCTTGTCAGAGAGGTTGTCTAACACTACAGTATTTTTGATGTCTTCTGGGCTAGCCTCTTCAATAAGAAAGTTTGGTGGGCTTTTGCATTGCTTTACCATTGTGACGAGTGTGGTTTAATCCTTCATATTCACTGTTACTATTCTGCTAGATAAGCAGTGTGAGTTGAGATAGGCTTATGAGTTATTGGCTACTGAGTTTCTAGTGGCTGAGCTAAAATAGAGAAGATTCCATCTAAGAAGGTAGCTTATGGTTTCTAGGGCATATGTAGTGGGAGAATATTTCACGGCCGCATTAGCGGCCACGGCTCTGGAAAGGGTCCCTGCGCTGGTCCTGCGCAGATCAGGGGAAAAAACCGGCTGTCCTATGAGATCGAGCTAGCTGCGCATGCCCAGAGAAAGTCCCAGGCCTTGGGGGCGGGCTGTACCTGAATCTATTAACCATAATTTAGTAGTTGTTTTTTCTTCTGAGATAAGGTTAAATAAAGTAAAATGTGCAAATCTTCCCTTGAGTTTTGACAGTTGTGTAGACCTGTAAAATCCTAGTGAGATTTAGAACATTGCCATTATATCCCAAATTCACATTCTCCTCAGAGTTCTTCCCAGTCAATAGCTGCTTCTGCCTTTTTCTTCCACAAGGCAAATAATGTATTGATTTTTTAACATTTTTACCATTAACTGGTATTGTCTGTTCCAGAATGTCATATAACTAAAATAATGGCATATTTATTGTTTTGTGCAAAACTTATTTAAATTTAATGTTTTTGAGGAATATCCATGTTATTGCATGTTTGAGTAGTCCATTCTTTTTTATTACTGAGTAGTATTCCATTGAAACAACCAGTGCATTTTTCCATTTGCTACTTCTGGAAAACTGAGTTGTTTCGAATTTTCAGATGTTATGAAATAAACTGCTATGAACATTTGTGTAAAAGTCTTTTTGTGAGCATATGTTTTTGCTTCTCTTGAGTAAATAAGAGTAAAATTGCTCAGAAAGAGTGTAGGAATGAGTTTAGTTTAAAAGAAATGATAGATATTTTTAAAAAGTGATTGTACTACCAACAATTGTACTACCAATGCGTGAGTGTTCATTTGTTCCAATTCCTTGCCAACATTTGGTGTTTTTAGTCTCCTTCTAGTGACTATATATCTCAGTGCAGTTTTAATTTACATTTTATGATCATTGATTATGATCATGTGCTTATTGTTAACTTTTATATAACTTATTTCAAATTTTCAAGTTCTTTGTCTACTTTTAACTGTTTTTTTTATTCAGTTTTTACGTATGAAATTAGGGAATGAAGTGTTGGGGCTATACTTGCCATTATTTAAGGGGTCACATGCAAGACAAGCATCTTAATCCCTTAATCTCTCTAGCTCCATGAAATATATTTTATAAGCATTTTTCTCATTGTCTGTGGTTTTGCTATTACTTTAATTTTTATTTTTGGAGGGTTTTTTGGTTTGTTTTCGTTTTGCTTTGGGGATCACACCCAGCAATGCTCAGGGGTTACTCTTGGCTCTGCACTCAGTAATTACTCCTGGAGGTGCTGGGGGACCATAAAGGATGCCCGGTTGGCCATATGTAAGGTAAAAGCCTTACCTGCTATACCATCACTCTGGCCTCTCCTATTACCTTTAAAATAGTGTTTAGATGAGTATAATATTTTAATTTTACTGAATTCTAATTTTTCAATTTTTTTCTTTTGTAGTTTTTATGTTTTATGTTCAGTCTTTGTCTCAATTCAAGAAGACATTTTCTTTTCTTTTTCCTTTTGTTTTTTGGGGCACACCCATGGTTCTCAGAGCTTACTCCTGGCTTTGCACTTAGGGATCACTCTGGCAGGGCTCAGGGGACCATATGTAGCACTAGAGATCAAACCCTGCTCTGACACGTGCAAGGCAAGAGGCTTTCCACTGTACTATTTCTCCTTGCTATCTCCAGAAGACATTTTTAAATGCTGTTTTGGTTTTTGTTTAAGATACAAATTTGGTCTTTATACCTATACCTAGGAGTATGAAAAATTGTGTATTTATAGTGGATTTGTGGATTCTACTTGTTTTGATGAATAGATTGTTAATACCATGCTCATACTGTACTCTCTTAATCACTGTAACTATATAATCTTGTGCACAGGTAAAGTGCGTTCCCAATGTTAATATTTCTTTCCGGAGTTCTTTGGCTTTTAAGTGCTTTGTATTTTCGTATAAATTTTATTTTTTTTTAAATTTTAGAATTAAGTTTTCTACTAAAAAAGTTCTGGGTCTATGATTGTTACCATTTTGAAACTGTGGATCAATTCAGGGACAGCTGATATTTGAAAATATCAGATTTCTAAAGTTTATGAATGCTGTGTTCTTTGTGTTTTCTATATTTTCTCTATATTTTATGTAATGCCTTCTGGATGTGTTTTATAATTTTAGGTGTAAGGTTTTGCATATATTCTTGGTAATTTATGCTTTTTTGTGTTATTGTTATTTAAAAAAATCAGAGCTTCCTATAGCATATAAAAATAAATTGATTTTGTCTGTTAATTTTGTATTCTGTGACCTTTCTAAATATACTTACCCTATTATATTTTTTAATTATATGGGAATTTCTTATAAATAGTTGCATTTTCTGAAAATATAGTCTCCATTGAAATATTTAAGCTTTTATTTTACTTAATGCACCAGCTTATTTTTTCAGAATAATTTGGCATGTATCGATTATATGTACTTTCCTTTACTATGTTAAGTGGTAAATTATTTTATGGAGTTTGTAGTGTCAGTGCAACATTTTGTTCCTAGGATAAGTTGCATGTGCCAATGATTTATCTCTTTTATATGTTACTGGATGACTTGACAATATTTTATATAGGATATTTGCATCTATGTTCATAAGAAATTTTGATTTGTAATTTTTTCTTACTGTATCTTCAACAAGCATTAGTATTAGTTGCTCTGAATTCTAGAAATGCTTATTACATGAGATTTGAAGGATTGGTATTATTATTAAAAAAAATAGATTTCAATTTTGGGACCAGAGTGATAGTACAGGGTAGAGTGCTTGCCTTGCTCAGCCCCAAACTGGGTTTGATCCTGGGACTTCATATGGTTCCCCTGAGTCTGCCAGGGATGATCACTCCAAGCAAGCAGTGCCAGGAGTAATCCCTGAGCACTTCCCCTATGGTTCATAAACAAGCCAAGAATAGATTTCAAGAGAAAATACACCTAGACTTGACACTTTCTTTGTGAAAAAAAATTATTGAAATTGAACTCCTTCAATCTATAAAAGATTATACTAATTTTGTTTTGTTCTTTTGGCCAGTCCAAAATAAAATTTAATATATTAACAAAAATTAATCATAACATATATTTAATTTTTTGTATCCGGCACCTTTAACTTTATTAAAATTTTTTAATTGAATCACCATGAGATACACAGTTATTGATTGGGTTTCAATCACAGGATGCTCTAATACCCATCCCTTCACTAGTGTGCATTTGTTATCACCATTTCACTCCCACCCCTACATCCCCCACCCCCATGCAGTCTCTCTCTCTCTCTCTCTTTCTCTCTTTCTTTCACTCTCTCTCATTCCTGCTTGAAGTAGTAGAGTCATTTTTTTACTAGTTTCAATAATAAGTGACTTATGTTGCAAGGAATCGAACCTGGGTCGGCTGCATGCAAGACAAACGCCTACCTGCTGTGCTATCACTCACCCTTTATTTTCACCTACAAATTAAAAATGTGATCCTCTATGCTACCCTATGACCTAAAATTATTTGGAATACTTGAAAATTTTAAACCTTAAAATCTTTTACTGGGTCCTCCTTTAAGCTATATATGCAATTAGAATAAATGTGATATTTTAGCAAAGAAAGAAAAAAGAAAGAAAAAATACACACCCAAGTTATATAGTTAGGAATGCCGTCTGTATGAATTATAAATTTGCTTTGGATACTATGGAAACACTGTTTTTTAAGAGAACCATTTATTTCTCTTTACTTTGTTTGTCCAGGTGGAGTAAAACCTTGTGCATTGAACTGTTTGGCTGAAGGTTACAATTTTTATACTGAACGTGCCCCTGCAGTGATTGATGGGACTCAGTGCAATGCAGATTCACTGGATATCTGTATCAATGGAGAATGCAAGGTTACTCAGATATAAATTTTACTCCTTTTAGATAGTATTCCTTAGTCAATACTGTGCTCAGTAATGCTTAATGCTGTGATCTCTACCTTTAGAGAAATTCCATTTTCAGGAAGGATGATAGTACACGCAATAAAAGATAAAATGACCACTCATAAGCAAACATCATGCGAATGTGGTTTATTCGGTTGTTCTAGTTAAGACTATCATAATAGTTAGAAATATTTTGGATTTAGTTTTTATTTTTAAAAATCCAAAGTCCCAAATATTTCGGATTTAATCCTTATTCTTCTTTTCTGTTTACAATATGATAAGATACAGAGTGGATTGGGACTCTGTTTCATGTGGCTGCCACGTGTCCTTACTGGATGTTTACTTGATATGTTTTTTAACATAATTTTCTCTCAAAGTGTGAAACCGTTATGCATCTCCTTTGTGTCCTTGGAAGCATTTACAGTGGTTTTCATTATCAAGTTAGTCTTTACCTTATTAAAGTATTTACTTCAGAGAATTAGCTAGACTGTTGGGAATTGTAGAAGCAAATCCATGCTCTTATTCCTAGAGCTGTAAATGAATCTTATCGTAATAGAAAAAACCACAAAAACCACTCTTCTCATAACTTTTTTCCTGGTTTGTTTTTGTTTTACTTTAAAGATAAGCACAAGATAAGCACAAAACTAATCCCAGAAACTGAGAAAGAAGAAATAAATATACCGTCTCTTTTGGTCTCACTTATAACATTATGCAAAAGTTTCCATCTTTCAGGCTACTTGTCTCCGAGTTCTAAATGTGGTGTGTGTGTGTGTGTGTGTGTATGTGTGTGTGTGTGTGTTACTTTATTTATTTTAGAAAAAAGCTATTTCTGTGGTAGTGTTAAAAGTTTTTTCAGATTACAAAGATTCAGGTACAGATTTTATTCAGTGTTTACACCAGTGACTAATACATCTAGGGGCTAGAATGACAGTAGAGGGGTTAGGGTGCTTTCCTTACATGTAGCTAATATGGATTTGATCCCCGGCATCCCATATGGTTCCCTGAGCACAGCAGGAGTGATCCTTAAGTGTAAAGCCAGGTGTAAGCTTGGAGAACTGCCATGTGTGGAGATAGATAGATAGATAGATAGATAGATAGATAGATAGATAGATATGATATGATAAAATGAAAATTTAAAAAGTAGAATTAAAGATTCTAATTTTACATATTTGGATCTCCTTTGGTTTATGATAATTTTATTCATCTGGTGGTAAACGGGCTTTTATTTTTGAAGATTTCCTCAGGGAAGGATTTCACAAACTTGATGTTGACACTGAAAATTGTATATCCAATAAAGCCAGTTGTTTTGAAAAGGACAAACTCTAATGATAGAGACAAGACTATTATTACTACAACCCTGTATAGGATTTTGTGTCATTTTTTTTATTTCTTCATTTTTTTAAAAAATTGAGTTTATGGGAGGGATACTGGGACACATGGTGGTGGAAAATGGGCACTGGTGGAGGGATGGGTACTTGATCATTGTATAACTGAAACCCAAGCACAAAACTTTGTAAGTCTACCTTATGGTGTTTCACTAACAAAAATTAAGAAACTAAAAAAAATTGAGTTTATAAGTAGAAGCCTGTGGCTTAACATTCTAATATTTAACAATTCGAGCATAGTGTGTATTAAAGGAAGAATAAATCTAGATTAGAAATAAAAGTATGCCTTCTTGAGCTAAAGAGATAGTACCAACTGATAAGGTGCTTGGTGTGGCAAACAGAACAAAAGGAAACAAAATAACAAGCAAAAAGCATAAATCCATGGGTAAGCGAAATTCTTTTCCTTCCAAACTTATGTGTTGAGAAATGTTAGCTACACAACTTACTAGAAAGGGTAGGTAAAGGTGAAAAGGGGGAAAATATTTCCTGTTTTGATTTCCTTTACTGGAAAAAAAAGCAAATAAACAAATTATACATTCTTGCTTAGTTATGGCTCCAAGAACCCCTCTTTTGACACACTGAATATTCTTCTCTGTTTTCAGCATGTAGGTTGTGATAATATTTTGGGATCCGATGCTAGGGAAGATAGATGTCGAGTCTGTGGAGGGGATGGAAGCACATGTGATGCCATTGAAGGGTTCTTCAATGATTCGTTGCCCAGAGGAGGTGAGTGTGTAAAGAGAGCTCTCCCTCACACCTCTGGTGTACTTGGATTAGCCAGAACACTTCATTCCCCTCCCTTAACTTTTAAATTCCTTTATTTAGCTAGACAATGCCTACCCCTTAAAAAAAGTTTGCTTTCAGTCCTTTAAACATTAAATGAAACTTCTACTATTTTAAGAAACTAGTATCCTCTTCAATCAACTTTATTTAGACTTTTCATCAAGAAGGGAACTCCCACACAACATTGATATAAGGGCCATGTGTTGAGAAAAATAACAGCACATGAACCAGTATTACGTATATCAAAGCTTTGTCAATATCTTGAGATAATTGTAAAGAAAAATACTGTATTCATGAATCAGAAGGGAAATTTGCTTAAATATCATAATTTATAATATAAAAAGTCAAAATAAGAGTGGTAGAATAAGGAAACTGTAATACTGAACATATAGATGCTCCCCTTTGGGCCGAGACTACTTATTACTGGCTATTTTCTGTGTTTCAGGATACATGGAAGTTGTGCAGATACCAAGAGGTTCCGTTCATATTGAAGTCAGAGAGGTTGCTGTGTCAAAGAACTATATTGGTAAGTTACATAATTTTTCTAGATTTTAAAAACTAATGAAGAAAGGTAATACTGTCATGAAGAAAAAGATATTCTACTTTGAGGTAGAACCTTTTCATGCTAAAATAAAGGGAGTTACAAGTTTTGTAGCACTGTAGTAAGAGCTAAATAAATAAAATTATTAGTTTATAGATGGTTGGAGTGATAGCACAAAGGTAGGGGGTTTGCCTTGCACACAGCCAGCCTGGCCGAGCCAGGTTCAATTCCTCCGTCCCCTCAGAGAGCCTCGCAAGCTACCGAGAGTATCTCGCCCACACGGCAAAGCCTGGCAAGCTACCCATGATGTATTCAATATGCCAAACACAGTAACAAGAAAGTCTCACAATGGAGATGTTACTGGGCCCGCTCGAGCAAATCGATGAACAACGGGAGGACAGTTTATAGATTACCCTTGGGGGGATTTTAGATCCTTTTTATTCAGGTATAATTAAGGTTAATTTGTATCTAGAAATAAACTGAATATGAGCATACGGACCTATTTTAGTTTCTTCCCAATACTCTACATGTCTCTCCTTAATCCAAAACCATTCTCCATTTTTTAATTGAGGTAGAATTTGACATAGAAAATGTTAGTTTCAGGGATATAGCACAATATACTAATAGAGCTTCACGGTAGACCTTAAAAATAGGAAACATTGGGGGCTGGAGTGATAGCACAGTGGATAGGGCATTTGCCTTGCATGAGGCCAACCCGGGTTCAATCCCCAGCATCCCATATGGTCCCCTGGGTACCACCAGGAGTAATTCCTGAGTGCAGAGTCAGGAGTGACCCCTGTGCATTGCTGGATGTGACCCAAAAAATGCAAAAACAAAACATAGAAAAAATTGTGTGGAGTTCATGCCCAATTTGATCAGCCTAATCAGTGGCTGAATAAATAGCAATACTCCTACATTGAAAAAAAAAAGGAAACATTGAATGCTAAAACTTATTGTTTTGCTTCTTTAGATTCTTTAAATTTCTTTTTTTTTAAATTTGACCTTTAAACTTTATTCCCCAACTTTTGAAAGTCTGTATTTAAAAGCTCATTTTCATCTTTTAAAAAAAAGTGTTATTTTTATTTTATTTTATTAAATCACTGTGAGAGAGACCATCACAAAACTATTTATGATTGGGTTTTAATCATACACTGTCCAATAACTATTCCTCCACCAGAGCATATGTCCCACCACCATTGTTCCCAGTTTCTTTCCCATCCCCTACCCTACCCCCACCCCATCTGCCTCTACGGCGGGCACTTTTCTTCTTGTTCTCTTTCATTTCTCTCTCTCTCTCTCTCTCTCCTCTCTCTCTCTCCCCCTTTTTGTGCATTATGACTTGCAACTAGGTGGTGACTTTAGGTTGTGGATGGGACTTCTGGGACTGCTGGAAGTACAGGGAGTTGTTGGGAGGTAGCCCATCCCAACCCCGAGAGAGCCTGGAGATTTCAGTCACAAAACACAAAACCCACATACCTGATTTTTAACAGATAAATATATCAGTGAGGTCTGTCCTGAGACAGTCTTGCTAGGGGCATGGCAGCGATTTTAGATTGTGGCAGCAAGTGGCTGCCAGGTGCTCCCCTGGGGCGGGCACTGGCAAACTCACCCCCTTCCCATGCACCCCATCTGTACAGCTTTGCGAAGGTCAGAGATTAACTGTGGTTTGTTATCTCTTTCGAGATTTATTTATGGGTTTCTGAAGCAAGGCTGATAAGTGAGCCTGTATGGTTGAGCTGGAGGTGGTTTGTGAGCATGGTTCCCACATACCTAACTTTTGGTGGTTTAATTTCTCTGGAAAGTTGGTCCCAAGTTGTTGGAGTCTGGACAGCCAGATGCACAGCAGCTATTTGGGGATATCAGAAACATCGAGGCTGCTGATGTACTCACCCCATAGGTCCAGGTTGACCTGCTTAGCGGTTTCTCACCTTCTGGGCTCCAGTAGTGACAGCAGCAGTCTGGCAGGGGCCAAAACTGGGCCCAGAACTGCTATAGTACATGACTTGGACACTCTGGGCGGACTGCAATAACCAGTTCAGCAGAACTTGACCAGGGTATATGCTTTCCCCCACTCCCCCATCTTCAATCTCCAGACAGTTGGCGCTCAGGGAGGATTTTCTCCATAATATGCTGTGGGCAGTGTAGGCTGGTCCACCGATTGTAAATTGTCAGGGCCCCATGATGGGAACCCCGAGGGACAACTCAATGCCAGGACCCCAACACCCACACTCTCCAGTGGTACCTAGTTGGACCCAATGAACTCTATTTAGACCCATTAAAACTCTGCCACTATCCCAAGGATGCAAAAAAGCACAGTAGAAATGACATCTGTACCTATATGTTCATTGCAGCACTGTTCACAGTAGCCAAAATCTGGAAACAACTCAAGTGCCCTAGAACAGATGGCTGGTTAAAGAAACTTTGGTGCATCTACACAATGGAATACTATGCAGCTGTTAGGAGAGATGAAGTCATGAAATTTGCTTATAAGTGGATTGACATGGAGAGTATCATGCTAAGTGAAATGAGTCAGAAAGAGAGGGACAGACATAGAAGGATTACACTCATTTGTGGAGTATAGAATAACATACATGAGGCTGACACCCAAGGATAGTAGATACAAGGGCGAGGAGGATTGCCCCATAGCTGAAAGCCTGCCTCATGAGTGGAGGGGAGAAGGCAGATGGAATAGAGAAGAGATCACTAAGAAAATGATGCCTGGAGGAATCAGTCGGAATGGGAGATGTGTGCCAAAAGTAGATAATGGACCAAACATGATGACCTCTCAGTGTCTGTATTGCAAACCATAATGCCCAAAAGTGGAGAGAATATGGGGAATTTGGTCTGCTGTGGAGGCAGGGGGAGGGTGTGAAAGAGGGGGTATACTGGGGAGATTGGTGGTGGGGAATGTGCACTGGTGGAGGGATGGGTGTTTGATCATTGTTTGATTGTAACCCAAACATGAATACTTGTAACTTTCTCACAGTAAAGTAAAGTAAAGTAAAGGCCCTCCCGTTGATCATCGATTTGCTCGAGCGGGCCCAGTAACGTCTCCATTGGAGACTTTGTTGTTACTGTGTCTGGCATATCGAATACTGTCGGTAGCTTGCCGGGCTCTCGGAGAGGGGAGGAGGAATCGAACTCGGGTCGGCCATGTTGGCTGCGTGCAAGGCAGACACCCTACCCGCTGTGCTATCGCTCCAGCCCAGTGATTTAATAAAATTAAACAAACAAACAAAAAACTCTGCCACTGTCCACAACACTGAGAGCTGCAATAGCTCTACCAACTGGTGGTCATACCACCACCATCCTCACACATCCCATTTCTGGGCCAGAGCACTGTAGTGGGTGACCAGATGTTTTCATTGAATGATGTTCTGCCTGAACCAGAATATCTGAGGGCACCCACCTTCACTTATATAAAAATTTTGTGGTCCTATTGGCTGTTTAGAACATTGAGAGCTGCTGTGCCTTCAACCCTTGTTGCTGTGCCACTGCCATTTTGACCAGAATTCCAAGAGCTCAGTTTCTTAACCCCCTTTACATTGTGTGTGTGTGTGTGTGTGTGTGTGTGTGTGTATTACTGCTTGAGATCGAAACCAGGGCCTTATATATACAACCACTGAGCTACACAAATGATTCCTCTATTTACTTTTTAGTATCAACTTGTGAATTTTCACACATACACAATAATACATAATTTGAAATTCACAAAAGATAAAATTTAGATATATGGGAGAAATTATATCTTTAGAATATCATTTTCCAATATGTGGAACATTTTACCTATTCATTGAGTCTTTGCTTTTGTTCACCAAGCTCCCCGTGACGTATTCGATATGCCAAACACAGTAACAACAAAGTCTCTAATGGAGAAGTTACTGGGCCCACTCGAGCAAATCGACGAACAACGGGAGGGCCTTCTTATGCATATTTTTCTTAAATCCATCACTAAATGTTTTACTCTTTTTTATTTTATTTTAAATGGCATTGTCAATATAATCTTTTATTTTGGATGATTTATTATTGTATAGTAGTTGATTTCTTTAGTATTGACTTAGTTATATTTACTTAGTCTAACAGTTGTTTTGCAATATTCTTTTACATAGGTTGTTATGTATCCTTAAACAAAAGCAACTTTAATTCTGTCTTTCCTGTTATTATGCCCCTCCCTTCCTCCCTTCTTCCCTTCCTACTTTATAGCAATGGTCAGTACCTTCAGTCCAAAGTTGAATAAAAGCCTAAAAATACTTTCATTGTTACCAATCAGTTATTTTTACCATTAACTATGATGCTTAGTAGAATATTTATATAGATATCCTTTATTGCATAGAGGAAATTCCCATCTATTTCTAGTGTTCTAGTGTTCTTTTTTATGAATTGGGTTAAAGTTTTTTCAGTCTATTACACAATCAGATGTTATTATTTTCACTTTTTTTCTATAACTCTAGTAAGTGTATTGATTATTTTTCAAATGATAAATCAAATTAGCATTTTTGGGACAAAAACCATTTTAGCACAATGTATAATACAAGTATATGCAAGTGATTATTTTATTAAATTTTTTGCATCTTTTTTGATGAAGCATTTTGGACTACAGGCTTTTCCTGTAATGTCTTTGTTGGTTTTTGATGTCAGATTAAATACGACCTCATAATATGAATCGGGAGGTATTCTTCTCTCCTCAAATTTCTGAAAGAGTTTGAGTCAAAATGTTACTGTCTCTTAATGTTTTATACAATTTAGTTATGAAGCCTCTGGAGTAGTGTTTTCTTTGTATGAAGGTTTTTAATTAAAGTTTCAATTTTTGTAAGAGCCATAAATTGTAAACTTTATTGGTATAAAGTTGCATATTGTATTTCCCTTATTATCCTTTTAATATCTGTAGGAGCTACAATGATGAAAATACTTCATCTTCTCATTAGTAATTTGTATCTTCTTTTTGATCTGTCTAGTGAAGAGTTCATTAATTTTATTGAATGTGT